AACAATATAAACTAAATTTACAGGAAAAAACAGCTGCTATGAAAATAACCGCATCTGCCTCCCTCCGTCCCGACGTTCTCCCACTCGCACGCGCTTAGCAGATCTGGTGCTGAATCACATTTAATCACCTGCGAAAGCAGCTGCTATGAAAATAATCGCATCTGCCTCCCTCCGTCCCAACGTTCTCCCACTCGCACTGCTTAGCAGATATGGTGCTGAATCACATTTAATCACCTGCTATTACAGGGAGATCAGATGTACAGTGTGCCCAGGTTAATAGGGTGGAGATATGCATATCTGATGGCCAATTAAAACCTTTCTAAAGATAGAGCTCCAATTGCAATTTTCTGGATTTGGGCCTCCTCACTCTAGGGAATAGGCAAGCAGCTCTGTCTTCTAGGCAAATAAGGGGCCAAAAAAAATCACTTGCTTGAGAGTTTACCACACAATTTCTACTGAATTGTTTTAGGTTATGCAGATAAATTGCAGGACTGGGAGGAACTTGAGGACTGGGAGAAACTGCTGCCTTACGTTGGCTCCTGTGTGTCCTGCCCCAGCTGTGTGTTTGAGGTGCACTAAAAAGCTTGACCATAAACATAGTTTTCTAGGTTAAGATATGAAACACCAGCCAGCTGCCCCAGCTGTGTGTTTGAGGTGCACCATCTCTTGGCATTCGTAACATAAAAAAACACAGATTAATCTGTTTAATAACCACCAGCATTACCCAAACGTGTTGAAGATTTTTATGCAAACAATGAATGACACAAGGGTGATCAGCACAATTTTGATCCAGCAGGTAACATTAGAAACCAGAGACTTTTCATATCAACCTTTGTTTCCCTTATAAGCAAAGACTTCCCAGGAACTTCTTGGAGACTTTATTGGATTAAAATGAAGATAATTATAGGAGGACTCAGATGACCCCACTGGCTCCTTTGTATTGAAATGCAGCCAGTACCAGCTACGTAAATGCCAGCATGACTTGGCAGGGCCCCAAAAGCATTTTTGTTTCATTGCTTATTTTTGTCCGTGTTGAGAGTGTAGGTGAGTTCTCTGGATCCCAGGGGAAGGAGTGTCCAAGTCACCCTCCCAGCCATCACCAAGTAACGTTGCAGGCACGGTGGAGAGCTCAGCACTAGAAAGGAGGAGGCCTGACAAGTGCTGGCACAACAACACACTTGCAAGATCTCTGAAAAAAATCCTGTGCCATAAAAGGTTTGGGTTTATGGAGGACTTCTAGCACTTTTATTAGTTATTTCAAAATCTGTTTCAACAAACGTTCCATCCATATTGCAATGTGAGGAGGGGAAGGTGCAAAAGCAGAGATGATACCTCTATGGAGACACTTAAATCAGCTGCAGCACAAACTGGGACGGGACCCCCAGGAGCGATGCTGCCTCCGCACGGGTCCCGCACAGCGACCGCAGCAACTCGGAGCTCTGGCTTCTGGGTGAAGGAGACGTGACACCCATGGCTACATCAGGAGCTTTAGAAAGGACCACAGTCGGCCTGCAAAAGTATTTTGCAGTAGACAATTCCATTGCAGGAGTGACTAGGAATTAAACAGAAGATCTTCTTAGAATCAGGAGCTATAGAAAGGACCACAGTTGGCCTGCAAAAGTATTTTGCAGAAGACAATTCCGTTGCAGGAGTGACTAGGAATTAAATTAGGAATTAAACAGAAGATCTTCTTAGAAGTGAGCAACCTAGACAGAACGTATAAATCCATACCCTGAGAGCCATAGTACCATCTGCACACCTTCAGACATGCTGCAGAAAGATTTTTTAGCTGCTGTGAAACCCTTTTTGGGCCCAGTGCATGGGCGATTTACATGAGGAGGGGCTAGGGAAGGAAAGAACTAGTTACATGAAAGATTTTTGAAAATTTTGAGAAATGCTGAGAGCAGCATCAGCATCCTGCCTAGTGGAATGAATCACTCCAGAGAAGAATTTGCACACAGCAGTACTGTGTGTCTTATGTGTCCTGCCCACTAGATGCCTTTGCAGGCATTTAGCAGAAACTAAAAGTAATCACAACATTAAAGGCAATTTTTAGGGCAGAGTTCTAATGCTTCCTCAAAAATAAAAAAATCCAAATGCACAGCATGAAAGGTCAGTAGCAATCCCATGTCACTGCTTCAGGGAACGATGGAAGGGCGCAAGAGGAAAAGATCCAAATCATTACCTGAGTGGACTTACAAAGCCAAACCATTCGGAGCCATTCCAAAATGCCTCCTACCCACTATTTTAGCTGAAAACAACAAGGGGAAAAAGGCAAAGATAGAAGGCAAACATATGAACAGCTACAGAGCATGCATGAGCTTTGACAACTCATATCATTTATTTGTTGCAAGGGTCTGGGTCTTCGCACAGACCATGTGCTGCAGGTGGCTGCAACACTGCAGAACCACCTTGCTGACCACCAGCTTGCAGCAGCAGCAGCTCCTGCCCATCTCTACAGAGCTGCACATTAAATAAGCCTCGTTAAGCCATTCATTTTTGCTTAGTTCCAGCCAGCTAAACCACAGGAAAGTCCTGGTATTTTAATTAACTCCTAAGGAGAACTTTGTTCCTTCCCTGCTTTGGAGGCAGAGACTCCCCGGTTGTATCACAGCAGCACTGCGGCTTTGCAAGACCCCTAGGCCAAGAGGTCTCTCCAAAGCAGAGGACGTTGCAATGCAAGGGATGCCCAGGCAGAGCTCAGAACATCCTCTCTCTTGCCTGGCTAGGCTTGCTAAAATGCAGGAAAAAATAATAATCTCCCCTTACAAAGAAAATAGAGACACATTTGGGGAAGATATGTGAGCTAGTCAGCGTGACCCTGCTGGTTCCTAGTCCCTGACTTTCACAAAAGAGATAAGAAGTAGGAGTAGGAATGAGTTTGTCAAGGACTTCATGTACCATCTACAAAACAGCATTTGGCATCTCTTGCTCATATGTCAAATGAGTGTCTCTGCACTAGTCCAAAATCAGGCTTTGATTTTTTTAAAAGATAGTTTAATGTTGATTTAAGAAATGTGAGAAATAAATCATCTATTTACAGGACTAATCACAAATGTGCCATTAGAAATGTATTATCAAGCTGCTTAAATTCTGCCACAGCCAAGAAAAAAAGAGTGATTCTCAAGGTCTTGGCTTGCCTGAGTGTTAGGGACTCAGCTGTGGCATTGGGGACATCTGGTTTGGAGCTGTCAGTGAATTTAGAAGTCGCAGCCTTTATCTCTAGGTAGAGTCTTGTGATGATGTTGCTGATACAGGGCACCGTGAATCTGCATTCAACCCCTTCTGTTAGATCAAGTTATCTTACAAAATGGCTTCTTTGCAGAAGCAGATCATTAACTAATACCAATATCCCCAATTTCATAATTAGGCTGTACATAGGCGTGTGTACACGGCCTATACAAGAAGGCTGGAAGTACAGTGCAGATCTTTATAGCAGTGAGCTTATGTTCAGCTTGCCAGAAAATCAGTAAAATACAAAGAAAAGATCTAAGTAGTCGCCTGCAAAAACTAAACAAAATGCATGCTATTTTATGGCCTCCTGTATTGATGTACCCCTGTTGCTGAACTCTTCTGTCACTTTCTGGGCACAAAAGTAATGCAAGAACATACACTATCAAGTGAAGATGCTGTTGCACAATATATTACATTAGGGAGTTTCACTTCTCCTCATAATGGAGCTTCTTCAAGTGAAGAAGTGGCAGTTTTCCAGAATGATGTGGATTATCTTCAGACAGCACAAATGTAGAGTAACAGCGTTCCAGCTGAACTTCAGGCTCCAATCTGGAGCATATAGAGTGTATAGAAAGCTTTAGGACTGCTCTTAGACCTCCCAAATGCATCGCACAAGGAGGCACCGAGTGAAGACGACCGGCGGAAGCGGCGCCAAGCGAATTGTTCTTGCTCTAGCTGGAAGACAAATGTTATGGATTTCATCCAGTCTGCCAAAAATACGCAAAAGGTTTCGATCCGAACATCCAAAATGTTAAGAGAAGCACTAAGGACCTATGCAAGCTGATGTGTCCACAGCCAGTACGGGGAATTGGTTATGGACCCTTGGGCTACACGTGAACTTCCAAAAAGACAGCAATACAATGACTTTGGCTACTTTGAACAACTGGAGTGGTGCTCAGCCTTTCAGAATTCCAGATTTTGCTTTTAAGGCTATTTTAACACTCTTGTTGAGTGTCAAAAAAACGCTTATTAATTTCCACAATCGCCTAAGCTCTAGCCAAATTTGATTAGCAGGGTTTAAGTCAAATTTCAGAACAGATTAAAAAAAAAAAAGAGAGAGAGAGAGAGAACAAAAACCCTGCAGCTGCCATATTATGCTATTTTTAATGACATTAGTCACACTCATTAGCAGAATATCATGCGTTATGATCCTTACGGCTTACCAGGAGATGCAGGTAAGATTCCCAATGCTTGTGCTTGCTAAATCTCCTTCAGGCTTTGGCTTTGAGGCACTGCTGGGAACCACAGCACCCCAAGCAGCAAAAACGGGCCAAAACAATCATGTCATACTTGGCACCCAGCACAATATTACAACAATAGATACCATATCCAAAGTCTTAGGCTCTTTAGAGGTAAGAACTCAACTGGATAGTTGTATTCCAGTGGCTTTGCAGCTACTGCTGCTCACTCATGTGCAGAGATACTCACCCAAAGCCTGGCAATGCACTGAAGAGTCTCAAAGGATTATAACGAATTAACATATTACATGTAGAATCAGAACAGGTCTCCAGTCTCAAACCTGACACTGCCCTTGATTGATCTCTCCCTCCCTTGGTCATTTCAGAGGACTGAAAATATTGCTTTCACTGTCCACATTTTCCAAATCCTAAAGGCAAATTTTACCCTGCTGAGGTTTCAGAGGCCTCCCATCCTAATCTTCACTAGATATTCTGCCTTAAATGCTGCTGTCTGCTGTAGGTTCCCGGCCAGGCCTGGGACAGCTCTATGTGCCGCCTTCTGCAGCCCCCCAGCCTATTAATGCCTGGTTCGCAGATGGGGAAGCGCTGCCATATGCCAATTCAGGAGCAATTTTTGACTCACAGTCAAAAGCATCCAAAAAGTCAGTATGCAGGTTTTTCCTGCCATATGGAGGAATTGTTATTTGGCCTTTTCTCCAACTGTATCTCATTAAGCAGAAGGAAAGAAAAAGGGGAGGAGGTTCTTCATCCTTGCAGATCTTGCCCTGGAGTTCATCTTCCTTTGAAAGGCGACCTTCAGTCCTGGTACCTAGAAAACCAAGTGAGAGGAGAAGGAAACTATATGAAGCCAGGATAATAAGGGTGGTATTCCAGCCAACTCAACATATTTTGTCTTTTACATTCTGAATATGACTTCTTTCATGCAAAATGCAAAGGTATTAGAGTTAGCAATGGTTCTGATGGGCTCAGAAAGATAGAGGAAGACCCGCACCTTCCACGAAGTCTTTAGTGGTGCATTGCTTGCAGTAAAGCTAGTCTATTACCTCCAAATACTGCAGCATTGCAAAGGTGTTGGTAAAAGCATTACTCCAATCTGTGTGTGTTTTGCAAAGTCCCTCTTGCTCAACACAGGAGATTTGCCTAAGCTGAGATTTTGGCTGGAGTTTTGCATTTGTTTCATATAGAAACTATTGTGACATTAGCATAAGAATGTCTGTGTTGTAAATTTAGAGTAATTAACTGGGCCGTTGTGCATGCAGAAAATAATCAGATACAGGTTTAAAAGTTATAAAGATAAATAGAAACCTCAAAGCTGAGCTGCTTCCTTACGATCTTCCTCAATGTAGAAAGATGTCAGGAGGAAAAAACTCCCTCCAAAGACACCGACAAACACACACGTGATGAAGCTGTACTGCAGGCTCCAGAAACTCCACTGGAATGAGCTGGCATTCTTGGCCTGGATAGCATTAGAGATCTAGGGAGGGAACAGTGCTGTCATTTACCTGCAGTAAGGTCACCCTTTCGGTTCAAGCAGATCGGTCACAGGGTGGGCGTTGAAAAGAACAGAGCAGGGCACACAGGGAGGAAAAGCCTGAAATCTGCATGTGTCAGCGTGGTGCCAGTACCTCTGTACTCCTCCACTGATGAGCTTCTATGGCATCTAGGAATTCCATCTCCCTTCCTATCTCCAGTGCCTCCAGTCACAGGAGGTGGCGGTACCGCGGCCGGGGCCTTCTGCTGCTTTCAGACTCCATTCGGCTTCTGGGGTTTTTTCGGAGCAAGAAGCATTGGCTCCTTTTACCATCTCCAGATTTAACATTTGGCAATAACTATCATCATTTCTTGATGTTATTTGAAAACTTCATCGATACATCCCCAATCAGCCTCAGATAGGTAGAAACAAGGAACTGGCATCAGCTACAGGCACAAGCAACAACGCTCGTTAAAAAAGGAAAGAACCGGGGATGGATTTGAGACAGGACCAAAGTCTATGTTAGAGCCAAAAGGCGTTTGAGGAGTCATGAAGTAACATGGTGAGAACTTGGGAAGAAGGTGGTATCAGGCAGCTGCTTTTTACTCTGGCTGTGGGATGAGATTGTGAAAGTTATAAATGATCCACATTAATTTTATTTTTGTAGATGGAAAAAAAAATAGCTGATTCCAAGGAACTCACCCAGTAAGATTCAATACTTAAGCCATTAAATGAAAATCTCATTACAGCCTAAAACCAAAAGATGAATGTTGAATGCAGTAGTTTTTATTCCACATTTGTCCCTGATAGTCACAATATGCTGCGTGACTTGAAGTACACAAATACAAGACTCTTCACCCTTTGCTTGGTTTAGTATCATTATTTATGACAGTTTCAGGCAGATAAGAGCACGATCAACTCTAAATGGGTACCTAGGGACTAGAGCAGGTATAATGGCCGACGTGCAAACCAAATGCATTTAATTTAAAATGCTCAGTAGGGAAATCTCTAGAGCTCAAAGCGAAGAAAACAGGCTCTGAGGAAGGCTATTCACTGAATCTCCAGACAGGCTTTAAGCTAAAGGGTTAGTGGAAGGAGGTTAGTAAACAACTGCACAGCCTGCATGCAAAAGGCACAGTGTTTAGGCAAGAGCAGACACGGGCAGATTTGCTGTAGAGCTTCACAAAAGCACTGCAGACACACAGGGGTGCTCATTGCACAGGACCACGCGCTTGGACAGACAACACGTTCATTCCTGGGCTACTTCTCTCTGTTCTTTGCAAAGTTGCAAGGTTACATGAGGATAAGCTCATTGGTATATACCATGACAATTCTTTTTTTGTCTTCACACTTTCCAATTAGCTGCTATTTAAGGCAGATGCCTGCAAGGGACTCCAGAGTGAAGCTCTCTGCACACAGCTACTCGCAGGGCACAGCAGCACAGGCAGCAGGAAGCCCTGATTCTACCTGTGTCTCAAAGACACCAAATAACTATGGATAAGAGACAAACAGTTTCATCTTTCAAGCAGAAGGCACAAATCAATAGAATATTAAAGGAAGGGAGAACACACAGGATGTATTTCAGTTTCACCAATAGCTCCCATTTTTGTGCATTATGTCAGGGATTTTTCATGACACAAGGAGATCAGTTATCATCTTTGCCCATACTTAAAGCCTAATCAGTGCTAGGGCAGGAGTTTCACAGTATGTTCCGACAAGTAAAATTTTCTTCATCTTTCCAAATAGAGCTCATTAGTTACAGCCCCCCAGGAAGAACCTCCCCATGAGAACGGACCCTCTTGTCTGCCAGGCAGATTAGACCGCAGGGGTTTCTGCTGCTCAGCCAGGGTGGGAAGAGGGGACTCTCCTATCTGGTTGCACCACAGCAGATGTTGGTGTCACTCTTGTTCTAGCATTTGCAAGAACGTATTAATTAACTGCAAGATTTCATAACTAAAGATTTGAACTAAGAATTTTAGTTTTCAATATATAAAATTATATTTGATTAATCTCCACAAAACTCCTCGCTAATTTAGCAGAAAGTATGTAAATGAGTACAATACCCAAAAAGTGTCATGGCAAAGCTTAATGCCTTAAAAAAAATATGAATTTGCAAATGTTCAATCAAAATAAGTTTCTACGTGCTTCATGGAATTATTCACGTGTATATTCTACATGCCCACAATCTCACCGAACCAGCAGCTGAACTCAAGCAATTCAGGGAAAAAAAATGGTTTTAGAAGAATGTTGCTTTCATATTGCCATATCCCAAAAGCACAACTTGAATAATTTCTAGCTTTGGACAAGAATTATCTACAACTCTGTTTTTCGGTCCCTAAAGAAAGCCTGGCGAAGCAGAGAATTCACTTACAATCCCAATGAGATACGGGCTGCCTGCATCTCCCAGCAAGTGGCTCACCAGGATCTGCAGGGCTATCGCTGTCGACTGCCGCCTTGGGGTCACGACGTACTGAAACGAAGAGCAAAACCCACAGAGGAGTGGGCATCAGCAGAATGAACCTCATGAATGGAAACTACTAATATGACATTTGAGAGAAATGAATATATTCACTTGTATTTACTCAAACACTGTTTGCAAGTTTAGAGATAGACTACACCGAGTGCTTTGTATAGAAAAATAATGTTCAAGAAAGCAACATAGAACGAGGAGTGGCAGAAAAGCATGAAAAACACGACTGCCCTGCTCCCGTTTATTGGCTCGCTGCCGCACGCTCCTGGTCACGCTGTTGAAGTGCGGTCAGTAACCCCTGCATTTATTATATTAACATATATTAACAAGGAGATCCAGCACGACAGCCTCCGAGCAAAACGTCCTCCTGAGCCGGTGCCAGCAGCCCCGGCCTAGCCCATGGCAGGGACGTTTGGGACACCCGGTACCCAAGGTGGCTGCCCTGGTTAAACAGATGCCAGCGGAGACCTTCCAGAACACAGGAATGGAGGGGACCAACCTTTCCGGAGCTGGTGGTGGTTTGAGGACAGCTTTGGTGGCAGAAGTTTGTTGCTTCTTACTGGATAGCACCTGCGATACAGCTACAACTCCTCAAAACAGTTGCATTTTTGAGTGCCTGCACTTTAAATAACAAGTTGAAGAAGAGGCTGTGTGTGCCCAGAACTCTACAAAGCATCAGAGGGATTGTAACTATTTTTAGAAATGGAATATGGTCATTTGGGGATAATAAGGGCTTTAAGTCTGTGCTGGTAGAGGGGATGAACTGTGCCTGAAGAGGTGCAGGATGACTCTGTGTAATTGGGGTTTCTCACTCTCAATAATACATTTACAGGCAAAGCATTCACTGTCAGAATAATGAGACAGAAACAATTTTAACCCTTCCTACCTTTGTTTTGAAACCACTTGCTCATATCAAAGACTCCCTAGATCTCCCATTCCTCTGCTTCATCCCATAGAAAAATCCTAAAAAGACGTAAATCTTCAAAAAGGAAGTTACACCCACATGGATAACCTGCAACAGGAACATCTGTCTCAGACTAACTACCCTCATGCATGAGTTCACCTTGTGCATGTAAATGCTCAATGGTATTTCCCAGCACCCAGACAACCCAAATGAAATTAGAGTCACATGTAATGGGCTTACATCCCGGCCCAGCATCTGTTCCAGGGAAGCAGAGCAGATGTCTCAGCACATCTTCCTCCACAGGGGCAGATGACTATTTGCCCTTAGTGTGGCCATTGATTAGTTCAAGGACGGATTGATTTAATGCTGCAGAAAGCACAAGTCTTCACTATTCATTCTGGATACTGCAGTGTTTGCCACGGAGAGCCTACATGTTGCCCAAACAAGATGAAGTGGATAATAGGATTATTCCCTAAGACAGGGCTCTGCTGGGGGATGCTACTTCAGATAATGTTTCTCAGGGAGGTCTGCTGGTTTCCCAAGGCTTGTGTGAACTTAGGTCTTCTAGAAGTCTCCATCTCTATGAAACTTGGTTGAAATCCATGGTTTAAAAACTTAAGAGAAAGCGGACACCGATGGCAGGAACACTTTCTTCCTTAGAAAGTGACACTAAGCATCCTATTCAGATTTAACAGAGCACTTAATCTAAAATGAGAAAACACACATATTTGTCCCAAAATAATAGCATAAAATAGCAGCATAAATTTCAGCCAACTTGGCTATTTCTCTTCTGATCCCTCCCTACTAAGTCCTTGCTGTAGTCAGGCTTTTATAAGCAATAACATGCCTTGCACCTTCCAGGGATGCCAGAAACCCGTCCATGAGCATCTATGACGTGTCCTTCTGCCTGCAGCCAATATTCCTCTCTTCAGGAAGGAACTTTCCTGGAAGCAACTATAACTCCTTCCACTGGGTGAGTCTTTTGGTCCTGCTTACCCCATATCGCACCAGTTTCAGTAAAGAACCAAACTGACGATGCCTCTCGTAACTGGAAACAGCCACAAACAGGAAAGGTGAAGTGCTCAGCATCTTACAGCAGCATCTTTGCACCCACTAGGATGACTTGATACAAAGCAGTTTTATTAAAAGATACAACCTCCCTTTTCACTTTACACACATACAGCTAGCTTGTAGCCTTCCCACTCCTAGTCTCTTCAAAGTAGGTAACTGTAACTAAGCAGAAAATATGTATTTTTCATCAGGAATAGTTAGAGCACATAAAGAATGATAAGTTTTAAAGCAGGGCTGAGGACTTCACTTCAGAGTTACAGAAACTCTTTCATGACATGCGGTCACCTCATTGCACCCAGTTTCCTGGCAGTTTACGGACACAGTCATTGGCTAATCCGAGACCGGGAGCCCTTTCCAGCCACGGGAAGGCCCAGTCCAATGGCTCTTTCTTCGTGGCCACAGCACACTTTGGCCAGCTCAGTGTCCTGCACCACTTTCTTATTATTCCTGCATGTTTAACATGTCGTATCTGTACCCACAAGAGACACACGGAACAAGGCTGTGACAAGGAAAACGTAAGGGTATGAAGCTTCCCGTCCTTACCAGGCTCACACAAACTTTGCTCATGCTGCTATTTGAGGCTGTTCTCGACAGCAGAAACAACATGCAAGAGCTCTGTGTGCTGTGGGGTTCGCTAGGAGCGGGAGAAACCAAACTGCCACATGCAGGGACCTGGATAGAGCCACAGCCTCCTGGCTGCCCGAGGCGGCCACGCCGGACCCAGGCCGCCTCACTGATGGGGGTGACATCCTACACGCCGTCATCTCCGTGGAGATCCCGGCCCGGATTCCTTGGCACGTACACAGGGTGCCCCAAACACATAATTTGCAATGCTGTCCTGCTGTCTCCAGAGGGCTGAGAGATCCTCCTGCAGACTCTGTGACAGAGCTGTCAGCTAGAGAAGCAGATGGAACAGACAGGCTGGTAAACGCTCCCGCACCTCCCAGGGCTCGTCCAGACAAAGACAGGGACACGTCAGTAGCCTTCCCAACCCTGTAGCTTCCAGTTCCAGCATCTCCTACACTCTGAGCTGCCAAAAGCCTAAAAGGCAGTCCCAGCACCTCACCGATGGTGCATATTGCACACGGGAGACTCCACGTACCCGGAGAGCTGGAGTGTTGTAGCCAAGGTGGCTCCAGCACCACTCGAGTTGTGCCTTATTGACTGACTGCCGTTGTACAGTAGCTACTTTCGTGTTTACAGCTGAATAAGGGGCACAGAGGTTGCTACATGCAATGAATCTTGATGCATTAGCCACAAAGGAGGAAAGTCCTTATCATTCAGCCAGCATCTGCCTTTGTCTTCAGCTCCACAGGTTGCAGGAGAAATAAATTCCTAGCTACAGTGTCTGGTTAGCACTGCCATGTGAGGAGAACGAAAAGTCATTTTGATGGCAGAATAAGAACATGCATTTGCAAATCCAGCCACATTATCAGAAATTCTGCCAGCTTGCACAGGAAACAATGCAAAAAGACAAATTACTATCGTTATCTATGGCACCCTTTAGTCAATATAACAGCAGTAATACACTGAACCCATCTGGTTTATAGTGGGATGAAATAGAGATTCCAAAGCAAGATTGCCACTGAATGTGCACACACACACAAATTCAGGTAAATGCTATCATTTTTTCCGATAAAAAACCTAACACCTAGAATTCAACAGTTCCAGCGCAAAACACATTGATGGTAAGTGTACATTCGCTCAGAAGGAACAGGGTACTACAGAGGAAAGAGCTCTGCTCTGCAAAACCTCTCACTTTACCACTTGTTCTAAGTGATGCAGTTTTGCTTATACCTAAAACACATATAATTTTCTAAAATGAATACAAGGGAAGGAATGTTAGTCACTCAGGAGAAAAGAACTTCCTCCTCTTGTGGATTTACATGGATCGGGGATATGGCAGTGACACCCAGAATAGATTTCCTGCATGCTGTAATGAGCGGAGGACAGCCCAGCTCCTCGTGCACTCGCAGTTTGGGTTCACAGAGGCTCGCTGGGGAGGAGCTGCTTGTGCCTTAGTCCCCCAGCCTTAAATCACCGGTGCCCAACCCAGTGATGGCACCTTCATCACCTGAGGAAGCTGCACCTTGTGGGTGACAGCCCGTTGCTAGTGACAGCAACCACAGCAGTCTCGTGGGGACCCCGTTCCTCGCAAGCTAGGGCTTGGAGCGAGGGCTTGCAAAGGTCTCTCTACTGCCCTAACCCCTGTGACACGTTGGGCATCGCTGCACGGTGTCCTGCGGACCAGCGCTCCCATTGTGCTTCTTATGTAAAATTTATTACGACAGTAGAGCTAGTGATAGCAATCTGCACATGGATTTGAACTTCCTCAGAATAATACAACCTAAAATACAAGATGCCTACAGGCCTTGGCTCTCTTCAGCTACTAGTGCTCCATCACTGAGGTGCTATCTGAGAGTTAGCCTGAGGGTGAGAAACTCAGTCGGAGATTTATATTGTGCTTTGCCCTTAACTTTGTGTCTGCTCTCAGCTGCTTTAGCGGCCTTAAACAATTTCTCTATTTTGTCTTTTCCAACTAGAAAGTGTATCAGCATTTTTGTACTACAGCACATTTCCCTAATCTCTCTCTTTCTCAGAGCATCCTGCTTGAAATTTCGGAGCTACTATGATATCTACTTCTGTGCCAAATGATCTTGCAGAAGACGACCCCCTAAAGCAGATGGGTTAGGTCTCATCTGTGCCACAGTATTCGATGCTTTATAGAAAAAGATAGGTCAACTTAAACAAGATTCAAAATGCAGAGAGGAAGTGATTCTCCCTCTGGTGCAGACCAAGTTCTAGCAGACACCCAACGCTGCAGAGCTGCACAGAAAGCCCAGACTAGCAGGAGCACTAAAGCACCAGCTAGTTACACTTGAAAGAGTTTCACCCAAGCTAGTACATCTCGTTTCTGAGTTTGCATTGAGCTTGGACTACCGCTCTGCTCCATCTGTAGTGTTACTGGCATCTCTGCACAGCACTACGCTTTGCGTTTCCATTACCTCTCTGACATTAACAGGGTGCCAAGAGGTGTCTTCTTAGCAAGCATTCACTGATCTCTCCCTAGAAGGAGCAGGTCCTTCTAGCCACCAAGACACACATTTATGAACAATATTAAGCTGTGAAAAGCTGGAAAAAAAATGGAAATAAGCAAATAGTTCCACAGGTACTTACCAGCAGTATGTCTGTCACAACAGCCCAGTTTACAGATAAAAACAGTTCTCCAAATGCAATAAAAACCTGCCAAAAAAAAAAAAAAGAAAAAGAAGAAAAGCAGTGACTGCACACATTGACTTTCTTTAGTGCAAAGGCAACAGCAGGCTCACTGACTATGCTTGTCTCTATAGGAGTTGCTGTATGCACCCATCTCTATATATTATTCATCTGCTCTGTCTATGCTTGCAAACACTGTCTTCACTTGCAGAGAAAAGTAACCAGAGAAGGTACAGGAGTTGCTCTGTGGCATGAATCCTTGGCAGAAGAACCAAAATGGGAATCATGATATCACCCTCCCCAAATAACCTGCAGTTACCACTGTATTTCACTTCCAGAGGGAAAAAGTCTCCTGGAGATGGGCAGCCTGGAAAGCTTGGTGACCTGTGGGAATTCCCTAATTCACCACAGCTGGAGACCCAGCCATCAGGAAAAAGGGGCAGGATCCCAAGAGTTCCTACACCTGTGGAATTGAAAAGGATTAACCCTTCCAGCCAGGCCTGGACACAGACTGAGCAGACTGTCCGGGCTAACCCCTGCTTGAAGAAGGCACAAAAGCTGAGCAGAGAGTTCCAGGTTGCAGAGTCTCTCAGGGAGGCCAGAGTCCCTTGGTGTCTTGTGAACAACCCACACACATCTCTATAGCAGTAGGTGCCAGCATGTTGTTGGTGGGGCCTTTATCACAGTCTTGTATCCAGCTGATGAAAATACAAGCCTCAGAAGAGTCCCAGGAGCAAAATATCAGGTGTTTGCAGAGGGACTGTTCCTTCAACCTGCAAAATCACTGCATCTTCCTGTCACACTTACCCATCTCCTGTACTATATGTGAGTACAGACCTTTAGCCACACATCCATTCCTTCAAATACCTATTTTTTTTTAAATAAATTCAGCTTTTTCAGCATCTATCCTCCACTCATAATTCCTTTTCATTAAATTTTCCAGCAAATGATGGTTTCACATAGACTTTGACTATGTCTTAGCTCCTGGATTCGTATATCCCACTGGCCACCTCTCAAAGTCTTCCCACTCATTTGACCTTGGCTGGCTTGTCCTCGCCAGAGGAGGATGCAGTCATGCTCCTCCAATTCCATGCATGTAGCAATAATAGCCCAGAGGCTCCCAAAATTGGGCCAAACACAAAATGAAACACAGAATTGTCTCAACATTAGAGATTTGGCTCTGCTAGGTTTTCTTCCCATAGGTCTCATGCAGTTTGAAATTGTAGATTTACTAGAAAAATTTAACTGAGACATTTTTGGAAGGTAGTATATCACTCTGCAGAGTGTGTCAAGGTATTTTGTTCTGATCTCCTAAGTGTACCAAGAAAAGATGGAAACATCATATTTCATTACTTTCACCTTCTCCAGAACACACAACTTTTTTCAACGGACTGAACATGTAGAGCTTTGTGGTCTCCACAGGATGCAACCAAAATCATGTCCCAACATTTTGAGAACATTTTGTTTTGTAGATAAGTTTACATTCATACCTACAGCCAGTATAAAGGCAATAGAGAATTGCACTGTAGTCCATGTGAGTGCCAAACACTATTTTTAAATAATCACATGCCTAGGTAAAAAACAAGGTGGTCAGTGGGGCTGGACCTTATTGGTCAGCCATTTCTGTCTTCTCAAGAACCACCCTACCAGGAAGGTGTGTTAGAGACGAGAGCAGCAGAATGTCTTCTCAAAGGCCACTTGCAGGACAAGTGCTGCACTATCTCCTTGTTAGCTTGAGAATTCTGGTGCTTGGAAATATTTCTTCCAGCCTTGGCCATGGCTCATGAAACGCAGCTCATGGCTCCCCTTCATTAGCCACTCAGGCAGCAAAAAGCCCCATACAGAAGCCAGTTTTTGCAAGCTGATGCATATACATGTTTTATCTCTGCAGCTGCCACCCGGCAGAGTGATAGAGACAGGTTTGCTAACATCAGTGTGCCTGAGTAAACAGTGACTGGAAAGGTGGTTTCCTGCTGCCTCCTGCACAACTATAGGATCCGCTGCAGCGGGACCACCGCAGTCCCTGCACCGCTGCGACCGGTGTCACCGCTTGTTTGCAAAGAGAGGAGAGGCAGGGCCGGGGCAAAGGGAAGGCCAGAGTGAGGCAGCTATTGGGGTAAAAATACTGGTGCCTAGACAACAAGCAATTTATTACCATACAGACTGTTGATTTTATGCTGGAACATCTGAATCAAGCAAATACAAAAATAAATAAATAAATAGGCTGAGGCTCTGATTAGGAGACCAGCTGCTCTGCCCTTGGGAAAGAAGCTTAAAGGTGACACTTGTCCTTACCCCAGTGCAGAATTTCCTCTTACACTGCTTGGAACCAGAGTGCTGTTTGCAAGGAGAAAAGCATTTTAAACATTTCAATTTGCTGGCTGTGATAAAAAGTGTATTTTGGAAAAGGGAAATCCAAACTTATATACTGACTCATCTAACACATCGTGCTAAACTAAACAGGTAGTGGAGATTGTGTGCTACACCCTTTAGTGATAAAAAAGGTCAGAGCAGGACTAAGAGGGAGCCTAAGATACAGAGAAAGAAAATGGCTAATTCTTTTGGCACTTAAATCCCTAGATCTCACTTCTTGAGATCCAAAAAAAACAAAAACCACACATCAACCAACCACTTCAGTTTCACATTTTTCTTCATGTACAATTACACACTCATAAAACCATTAGCTTTTTGCAGAAAGGCATTTTTCCATAGGAATACACACTGCCAAGGAGTCAAAAGGAAATTTTATTTAAATAAGCTCTATTCCTAGAAGCAAAAGTGCTGCAAAAATACCCTTTTGCAAAAAAGTGTTGATTACTATAATTAACTTTACTTGGATCCTATTATTTATGTTAATCATGGTAATGGTGACTATGGAGT